AAGAAAGTTGTTCTGAGCAAGAGGGACAGTAAAGGTGCAGGTTGGGAGGGTAGAGTCTGGCATTTTAAGGAAGTAAACTTTTTTACCCCCACCCGCCCCAGTTTTATTGAGCTTTAACTGACAAGTAAACTTTCAGTGTGGCTGGAATGGGAAGCAGCATCAGATGGGAAAGGCCTCTGTAGCGTCGTGTTCAGGAGTACTTTCTACACCCTGAGAGTTAAAGGAAGTCCTCGAAGGGATGGAACAGAATGCGATCTGGTTAGATTTGCTCCTGAAGACCCCACTCAGAAGGGCCTGGAGACAGGGAGGCCAGGGAAGAGGCTGCTGTGGGTAACCTGGTGAGAGAGAAGGTGGGACTGGATCAGGGAAAGGAGGACGTTGGGAGATTTGAGGGGTGTCGTGGGAGTTTTGACAACTAGCAGAAGTGAGGGGTGAGGCAGGGCTCCAGTGCTGGCAACTAGAAACAGAGGTGCCATCCCCAGGGAGGGGCTGTAGCCAGGAACAAGGTGGACAAGGTCTCCGAAGCCACAGGGCTCCCAGTGAGGGGATCAGTTTGAAGACAAGGATTTCCCCATGGTCTGAGAGTTAGGGAGTCACCGGGCACAGAACTCTGGGAGTGCACAATGTGAGGAGTGCCTCCTGGCTCCTGGGTTGGCCAGGAAGGGCCTCTTGAGGAAGTGTCATCCAGGCTGAGCCGAGACTGCCCAGGAGCTGGCCGGGAAAGAAGCTGGGCAGAGAAGGTGACTGCCCTGGCTTGGCAGAGAACCAGCACATTCTAGCAGGACCGCTAGGCCTCCATCGCCAGACAAGCCATTTGGAGAACCACGTACCCCTTTGCAGGTATCCATACCAAGTTTAGCTCATCATTTCCAACCAAGAATGGGTTTGACCTGTGTGTTCCTCTCAGTAACCACCTTGCCCCCTTCTACAGCCCCAACCAATGTGTAGAATTTCTCCAAGGTTGGGAACTCTTTTCAGGGAGATTTCCAAGCAGGTCTACACACATGGGCCCCTCCCAGGCCCTCAGCCACTTTCTAATGTGCAAAGATTTCTAGAGTAACAGGGTCAGAGTGCCCCTGTCTGCCAAGGTCTTTCTCCTTCTCATCTCTTGACTTAAGCTACAAGAAATGAAAAACAGCTTCAATAGGTTTTCTTTCAAAATTTGGGAGGCTTCCATACCTCCTGATTGCTGGACTACAGGGAGTCCTCAACTCTCTCAGGATCATGGAGAGGCTATCTTCATGGGTCTGGGGTCCTGACCCCAATTTATAATAAAAGCAGCATGTTAGCTTGTTTCCAAAGACGGCCATCAATTCCTCCTCTCCCTATGTGCAGAAGCCATGCCTCCAACAAGATGTGGAGTCCTACTCCTCCATCCCCTTGAACCCGGGCTGTTCTGTAATTGCATGACCAGGAGGATCTGACAAACTGATGCTGTGCCTGATCTAAGCCTAACCTTCGTGAGAACCGGCAGTTTCCCAGCCACTATGCCGTGAGAGAGCCCAAGCGGCAATGTGGCGAGGCCCATACAGAGGAGAACTGAGGTACCCACTCCAACTCCCCGCCCCAGAGGACAATTCCAGCAGAATTCCCAGCCCACAACCAGCACCAGCTTGAAAGACACGTGACTGAGCCAACCTGGGAGTGGATCCTCCAGACCCAGTAGAGCCACTCCAGCTGACACGGAGAAACAGACCTGTTCCCTCTAAGCCCTGCTCACCCTGCACAATGATAAACAAATAAATGATTGCTGTTTACGCTGCAAGTTTTGGGGTGGTTTGTTACACAGCAATAGCTCACTGAAACAAACAGCAACAGTTAGCAAGTACCAACTACGTACCATGCATTGTGCTAAGTGTTCTGTAACCGTTAACTTGTGAACTTCTCACATCAACCTTGTTAGAGAGGGATTTTTAGATGGGGAAGCCAAGGCTTAGAGAAATTAAATGACCCCATGCCGGGGCACACAGCCAATAAGTAAGAAGCAGGCTGACTCCGAAGCCCTAGCCTGCACTTGCAAAGAGCTCAGCTCCCAGCCACAAACCTACGTGTGGTCTTTCAGGCCCGATCATAGACCATGTCAAAGGCTTTATGTGGCAGGCCCACACCAGACACGGGGCATGGCCAGCACACTGCAGCCTCTGAAGGGAGCTGGGTTCAGGGAGCCATGTTCTTATGTAGTGGCATCCCTCCATTCAGGGCACCATATCAGGGGCCATCAACCAAAGCCCTTCCAGGTGCCTCTGCCAAGACCTCCCCGTGGAGAGGAGTGGGGAGACGTTGCTCGGCCTCAGGACTCAGGACTGCTCCTCTCCTAGGCTTCCCCAGCTCCCGACCCCCCCAACACACACACACATCTGTAAAACAGCAGGTGCCTTTGTTGGGGTCCCCCAGCGGTGAAATGATTCCTCACCAGTAACGCATCTGGTCCTAGCCTGGCGCTGTCCCAGGGGGAACATGGGCCATGGGAAGCTGGCACTTTTTCCTCTTGTTATACCATGTGTGCTAGTGATTAAAGGCTCGGCTGTTCCTCTCCGTTTGCCTCATTACCTGCGTGGACCCCTGTGACACAGGGCAGCTCAGCTCTGGACAACTTGCTCCCCCCCCCCACTTTCAGAGCACTCGGGGCAAAAGCCTCCCAGCATCCAGCCCTTCCCGGTACCACCCCGGCCTCAGCTCTCCTGCCCTGGTCTACCTAGAATCCTTCCCACTCTCGGCTCCTGGGGCCACAGCAAACCTCTAGCTCCAGGTCACATCTTTTGTAATTGGCTCGAGCCACTTGGGACAAAGCTCCCATTGTAATCTGAAGAAAAAACTCACATCTCTTTGGAGGATCAGACACTATAAGAATGATGACAGCAGCCAGCATTTATTGAGCACAGGCCATGGGCTAGGCACACGCTTAGTGTTTTATGCACATGAACTCATGAAATGAGTGAATATGTACAGTGCTTAGAACGGCGTCTGGATGGAGTAAATGCTCAATAAATGGTAGCTATTTCCATCAAGTAACACCTCATAACACCCGTGTCAAGAAAAAACTATTATTCAGCATCCCATGTTTACAACTGAGAAACTGAGGCCCAGAAAAGTTAAAAGACACAGTGAGTAAGTGGTGGCCCTGATCCCAAGCCCAAACCTGCCTGGGCCCGGCGGCTTTCCGTGCAGGGCACTGCCTCTGGGACCCACTGTGCAGACTAGTGAATAAGAACAGCTGGTTAAAATACCAAAGGTCACCTATCTGAAAGACTTCCATCCACATGGTTTAAAATGTAAAATATATCTATACGTGAAGTCGCCAAGTCGTAAGCTTCAGTGGTTTGAAGGACTTTATGTAAAACACTTCAGGAAGGACTCCAATAAAAAAATTAACTCAATACAGGCTTCCCCCTTTCCAAAACCTTACTCTCTGCCAATTGGCTTTTAAGAAAGACCTAGATGAGTACCTGTTTTGGATAACTGAAAGAAATCTGAAGAGGCTTCTTGCTTTTATGAAATGGCAATTGCTTCTTTGCTTTATGCCCTTTGGGCTGTTAAAAACACACAAAATTCAATCAAGTAAATTTGGAGATCTTATTGGTTTTATTAAGCGATTCATGAATTGGACATCATTCCCCCTCGCAAGTAGTGAAATGCCCCCACAAAGGTGTACAAAATGGAGTTTTTATAGGAGGGCGGGGCAAAAAGTTATTAGCAAAAGAAAACATCATTCTTTCAAGTCAGGTCACCCGCCCTCAGGAGCAGCGGAGGGTCTTATGCAGATGACCTCACTAGGAAGTTCCCAACTGATTAGTTTAAAATCCCACTCCTGGGAGAGGCTGAAACTGCAGTGAGGTTGGGCGCGAAGCCCCAGCTTGGTGATAGTCTGGGAGAAGTGACTCCGTGCTGGGCCTGTGTTTTTCTTTTTAACTTGCAAGTTTTCGAAGGAACAAATTCTACTTCCAGATAGAGGGGAAAACCTGGTAAGTGCCAGTTCTCCACCAACACCATCAAGGTGCATGGGGTTCAATTCTATTGAGCCACGCTTTTCCTTCTTAATATGAGTAAGTCCAAAGCCTGTAAAGAGTAGAAGTCACTTTGAACACAAGCTGCCTCCTAGGCCTCCTCATTTGACCTAGAAACTCCTCAAGGTCAGGCTCAAATTCTCTCTAGAATGCACATCTCACTGGTGGCAAGCTGAGAGTAGTTAAGAACAGTGGCTGAGAGCCACTGGGGAATAATAGGCAAATTGCTTAACCTCTCTGGTCCAGTGTCCTCATCTGCAAACTGAAAAAAATATTAGTACTTAATTCATGTGGGTGTTGCAAGAAATCAATGAGGTAATGCTCATAAGGCCTGAACAGAGTAGGAGCTCATTAATGGTCAATTTTTGTTACTACTAAATACCGGGGAGAGTGTTAACTATGTCCAGGGAGCCCGGGATCCCTCCAGAATGAAGGTCAACCTTAAGTGGAAATCTGCTCCCCAGGACTTAACTGTTCAGCAGGAACTCCTGAAAACCAGTCCTCCCTCGGGCACAACCCCAATTCCAGCTGAGTTTAAGTCTTCCAGTCTCTAAGTCAAAGTTCTTAACCCTCAGGAAATGTCAGAATCATCCAAGAGCTTGTTTACAGAGTATATTCTTAGAGCTTTCCCCAAGGAGTTTCTTCTAGGTTTTGGGGGAGGCCAGGAATTGGGTATGTTTCACAAACACACCAGGTAATTCTCATCTAGAGTCTGAACCACTGCCCTAAGCCAGGGATAGGCCCTCTCCTGTAAAGGGCCAGAGAATAAATACTTTCGGCTTTGTGGGTCAGATTTCCCTCACAACTATCCGACTCTGCTATTGCGGCACAAAAGCCAAAGACATTCAGTTAATGGAGGGATGTGGTTGTGTTCCAAAAAACCTTTATTTACAAAGACAGTCGATGGGCCAGATTTGAACTGTAGGCCAATGTGCCGGCCCTGCTCTGCCGGCCAAGATCCTTTCTACATACAATCAATAAAGACGCAGACATGTATTAAAAAAAGTGGTATTTCTTTAATTTAAAATTATGACCTGGAAACAACCAGTTTAACTGACCCAGGCCTCTTCTTTATACCCAGCTGGAACAGACACAATACTGGCTCAGATTGCCACCCCAGAAAAGAATCAAACCAAGCTGCAAATCCTCAGGATGTCCCCGCAGCTACCCTGCTGGAGCCATCAGGCTCTGGGGAAGGACGCTGCCAGGGCTGCTGCTTTCCAGCCCCACTGAAAAGAGCTTCCCTTCCACCACCCAACTTCCTCACTGACCTGACTCCTCTCAATTGCTCTGTAGCGGCCACTGCACGTGTCCCCCCCGAGAGGCAGATGGTACAGCCGTCACCTGCCAACCATCTTTGGGGGCATCTTCCTGCAATTGCAACAGTGGAGCTGAGCAATTATAAGTGTTCATGCCCAGAAGGTCAGCACCTTCATTGTTTGGCTGAGTTCTGGAGCCTCGAGTCATAACCGTTGGTCATGTGTGGTTGAGGCCCCAGCAGCAAAATGGGAAATGATTTGGGGAGATGCAAGGGTCTCGGTAGCCAATGATGATTCTGAAAATGTAACAGACAAATGCCATCTGGCTAAACACCCTGCAAACAGGGAGAAAGTAACAGGATGGAATAGGGAACCCGGCCTCCTTCAGCCCTCCGAGGTTTTCTCTCTTCAAGGAGCCCAGATTTCAAAGGTCCCAATCTTAGGCTGGATCCGCCTCTCCCACCTCATACATTCAGGGCCAACCAGGTCTTCAGGACCACGCAGCCAGCCAGTGGGGGATCTTGCAGGAACACAGGGTGCTGAATAACGTGGGAAGGGTGTCTGTGAAACGGAGCAGGTATTTTTCCAAACCAACTTTTGGACATGTGCAGTCAGTAGAGAGGACAGGAAGAAGGGGGTGCCAGAACAGGCCTCGGAGTAAGGTCCTGGAGGCCTTCCCAGGAGGGGGTCACGTACAGAATAAATACACCTGGCTTGAAGCAAGCCTTCTGGAAGAAGTCAACAAGTCACCTCAGACCCGCTGCAGTGGACCAGTGAGTTTCACACTGGTTTGCTTTCTCTGAAGTTTATAGCACCAGAGCCTGATGCTTGACCTGAGTCAAAAGCTCTCGGGACAGACCACAGAAAGGCTGCCCAAGGATGTGGCAGAAGACCAGATGGTGGCCTGGCTGTCCCCACCACACGCTGCATTCCTCAGCCTGGTGGGCCGCATCCTGGGTATACTGCAGAGGCAGCCAAGGGCTCCTGCTGTGCCCGGCCTGGGGCGGAGAGAGAGGACAGCATTAGCTGGAGTCCCCTGAGAACTGAGGCACAGTCAGGAGGAGAAAGGGTGGGGTTTCCTCCCCAAGCCCAGTCACTGCCCCCCAAGGGAGGAAGAAGAGTACCATGCTGCCAGCACCACTGACACGTTACTCGAGGGAGGGCATGCAGGCATTCCAGCACAGCCCCCAACTGTGAGATGGCCCCCCCCAGTGAGAACCTCCCTTCCAGTTATCTGAGACCCAGGTCTGGGTCGTGTCACAAGCCCTGGCTCACCATCACCAGGGCCTGACCCCCACCTACCCAATCTTTGTGTTCTTAGCAAGGCAGCTCAAGTGGCGGGGGTGAGAGAGTTTGGGTCCCAGGGGTCCAGCCAGTTCTCCTTCCCAATCTCCTTTGTTCCTCATGAACAGTGGGCCCCCAAAGGTCTGTTGAAGATGGAGCTGTCCAGGCGGTCGGCCCTAGATGGAGGCCAACCACAGATCCCACTTATGAGACCACGTCATGTCACTGCCACAGCAGAAGACTGGTTCGACCCCCACCCTCATTGGATGATGCTGTCTGGTTGCCCATTCTGGGCCACCTGCCCAGGGTCAGAGGCAGGGGCGGGGTTGGGTGTGTTGCTCTGCAGATAGCGGCGAAAATCTTTGATCATGGGCCGGAGAACTTGGATGAGGACGCTCAGGGCCGCCTGGGTGCCCTCCATGGCCTGCGCCTGGCGCTCCTGGGCACAGGCCTGCACCTCCTGGGAACGGCGGATCATCTGCAGCAGGTCATTCTGCTGTTCCAGGTGCTGGGCGATCTCCTTCACATGCAGATTGGTAACTCGCTGCTCCTGGATCAGCTTGGCAGAGTTAAGGGCTATGCGGCTCTTGAGTGCCTGCGGTTTGACCGAAGTGTCAGTGTGCTGGGCCATCATCTCCACTGGGGCCTCAGTTGGTAGGGGTGGAGGGGCCTCAGCCGTACAGTACTCTACCACTCCCTCCTCAAGCGCGTGATAGGTAGTCTCTGTGGGGACTGTGGGGAAGAAAGAGAAAAGGCAGGTCATTTTTTTGAAAGAATGAGGCTGGCCACACGGGGTGGGGAGGGGACCATTAAGCCCTATTCTGGGGAATTCAAGCCTCCTCTGGCTCTATAAGCTATTCCTGTTAAGCCTAGAATTTAAAGGCTTTAGAATCCCAATCTACTTGGTAAACAAAGGGCCAGCCCTGGATCTAGCAAAAAGCAAAGCTGCTCAAAATACTAATAAAAATCCAGAGCACCTACTATGTGCCAGGCATGTGCTAAGTCCTTTGTACTCATTAGCTCGACAAATCCTCATAATGACACCAAAACATAGATGCTGTCATGTTCGTTTTCAAAGTTAAGGACACAGACTCAGAAACATGGATCAGCTTGCCTAAGGTCACACAGCTTATTTAGCAGGTTCAGGAAGCAAACCCACAGTTCAGCATGCTTGTAACCACCCCACTGGGCTGCTTCTGGCTAACAAAGGCAGGGCCACGTGCTCCCAGGCATGCCAGCACACAGCAGGCATCTTGGAATGGGTCCCTCTACATGAGGCAGCCACATGCACCCTACCTCCTTCAGTGCTTTCTTGACTTGTCTTTTATGGCCAAGCGGAAAAGGAGGTGGGAGTGGGACAGCAGCAGCAAAGATGCCAATAAATGCCTCCCTGTTCCCTTGATCAGCTTGGCCAGTGGAAGACTTAGAGGTTCTTCCTGTTCTAGAACAGACACTGAATCCAGTGTTTGAGCTTTTTTCCACCTCAATATCCTTGTGAAATATGATACACACACACACACACACACACACAATTCTCCCAAATCCTCAAGAATCATTGATTGATACAGTTCATAGTCCAACACAAACAAGCAGGTGAACCGCACTGGCACAAATTCTCATCTGAAAAGTCCAACCAAAGCTATTCCATTGCCCATTCATAGCTGAAGACCTTTGAAGGAATTCTAGGTGGGCTATTTGGGTATCTCTGCACATAGGAAAGGTCAATCTTCTCTACCCCTCAATGCCAACATCATCTGTTGGCATGCCACCCCAGCAGGAAGCCCCCTTCCTCTTCTGAGTCTTTAGGTTCTCCCATGTGACACTGCAGTTAATCATATGTGTCTTATCTGTCCTACCAGAATATAACTGGCCTATACTTTAGACACCTTGGTAATCCTGGTGCCAAGCACAGGGTTTGAACAGAGTAAGTGCCCACGTTTGATGAGTGAATGAATTAGTAGATTAACACTAGGAATCATGAGGTTCCTGAGCAGTGCCTGAGGAGTATTCACCACACTGAAAAAAATAGAATGTCTTTGTCCAAAAGTGAAGCCTGACCTGGGCATTATTGTTCCCAGCTATCTATTCATTCAACAAATATGACCTGACTGCTTACTCTGTGCTAGGCTCTGTGATAAGCCCTGTGGGGATATAGACATGGTCTGTCTTTAAGGACCACACAGTTCATCATGGACATGAATGGTGGTAAAACACAGTTGAGAGCAATTCATCTCATCAGAAGTCTAGACTGTGTGCTGAGGAAGTCCCAGGGAGAACAAGATCACTTCTGTCTGGGGAGCTCTTGGAAGGCCTCATGGTCTTCTAAGACTCCCATCTGACCTTTGACCCTCTGAAGCCAACCTTCCCCAGACTAGCCCAGCTCTTGCTGGCCCTTCCCATGCTGGACTGGGCAGGAGAGGTCACTCACTCTGTGTCAGGGTGACCGTGGCTGCGGCTGCAGTGGCCGTGGGTCCAAGGGCCACGGAATGGATCTCTGTGGTAGTGGGCAGGCTGATGATGGTGGCCTCGCCCAGCAGGTTGCAGATGCGCTGTTGCATGGGGGTGAGCAGTACAGGTGCTACAGATGGCCCACCGCCTCCACTGCCACCACCTGTCCCAGGCCCACCAGCTCCGTCCTCCTCAGTGGGCCCCGGGGCCTCGCCACCCTCCACCGCCGCCCGGACCTGGGCAACCTTGCGACGGACTTCGGTCTTGAGGTCAGACCACTTCTTCTTGACTTCAGGCAGCTCTCTGCGGCAGGTGGCCACGGCATTGACCCTTCTCAGGATGCCATGCCAGGCCGCGCTCTTGGCAGCCAGAGGGACCCCGGCGTTGAAATGGTTCACCAGCAGGTGCTTCTTCAGTTCCAACTCCTCCACGATGATCTCCACCTCTCGCTCGGAGAAGTTCATCTTCCTCTTCTTGGCTGGAACGGCCATGGCCTCTCCCCAACCCCTCTTTTTAAAGAAATTATAATCCTCTCAACCGTCCCAATTCCCCCCTCTTCTATCTCAACCTCGCCCCTCACCCACCCCCCCTACGGGGGATAGGCCGGGCTTGCGCAAGGCCAAGCACCGGGCCTTCGGTAACCCCCCTTGCTACGCAAAATGCGTAGGGCCCATTCCCGACCTGCCCAGCCACCGCCAGCCACCTGCGTAATGGCTTCCTGAATCTGCCTCTTCCGCCGGGGTATGCGGAGATACGCCCACTTCCCCTCTTCCCGCCTCCTAGCGCTCCTCCAGAGAACCCGCCCTCCCAGTTGGTCGTGGCCCAAATATCACGTCGGTCACTGGTTCTTTTTACCTGTCGCTCAGCTAAAGACCACGCCTATTTACTGGAATCGCCTAATCATTGGTCTAAAGGTGTGTCTATAGCTACAGAGCACTCCGCCACTTGCCTTTAACACTTCCATTGGAAAATTATTCTGTCGTTCAATCATCAGTATTACAATTACGCCGTTAAATTCAGCTATTTTATCGGTGTTTTAGGCAGAGTACCAAAACGCGACCTCCTGAAAACACCTAGTGCTTTCGGCTTTAAGCCGTTGGCCAATTAATTTTTAATTCCATCCACGGGCGCAAACTCTGCCTTGCAACCGCAGCTCACAAGTGCTCCTCACAAATCCTACTTGTCCCTGGAGAAGCAGCACGACCTCTCAGTACACAGCAGTTCCTCCCAGCCTTACGATTCCGCACTCCAGACAGTGTTTCTCAATAGAAATCGGACACGGGGCCTTGGGCCAGCCAATCACATGACCTCCGACTATCGCGGCTTGATTTCCTCTCTCCGGCCGGTTCAGCCAATCCCCACCTGCCCCAGTTTGAATCGGCTCCAGGCTGAGCCGGGACCGCCCCGCCCTCTCCATTGATCCGACAAGTCCTGGGAGGTGTGGGCTGTCCTCGGGGAGGCTCCGCCCCAACCCGGGCGCTGTCCGAGCCTGTGAATGGCCGGCGGCGGCCCTGGGGGCGTGGTCAGCGAGGCAGCGCGCGGCGGGGCGGGGCTCGCGGAAGCGTTTCCTCCCGCCAGCTTGCCGGCATCGCGGAGCTTCGTCTTGCAGTCCGAGGACACCGGCGTGTCTTTCGCGTTCTGCTCATCAGCCCACCACCCACGCCCGTGCGCCCGGCGCCCCTGCCTCGCGCCCGATGGTGAGCAGTGTGTTGTGCCGCTGCGTGGCTTCCCCGCCGCCGGACGCCGCTGCCGCCGCCTCGTCGTCCGCCTCGTCGCCCGCGTCCCTGGATCCGTGCGGCGGCGCCGTCTGCGGGGGCCCGGAACACCGGCTACGCCTTTGGAGCCTCTTCCAGACTCTCGACGTCAACCGTGACGGCGGCCTGTGTGTCAACGACTTGGCCGTGGGGCTGCCGCGCCTGGGACTGCACCGCACCGAGGGCGAGCTCCGGGTAGGCGGCGCGCACTATCCGCGTTGGCAGGGAGAGGGCCCTTTGGCGCCCCGGGACCTCTGGGAGGCCCGAGTCACAGCTCTGGGCCGCTGGTTAACAGGTCTGAACGGCCCAGCTTCTTGGGAAGTCCCTCAGAGTGTGGCAGGTCTGGTGGAGGGCCTCTTGGTCTGGGTGGCAACCTTCAGTGACAGGTAGACATTCACTCCCTGGTGGAAGTGGAGGCCCTTCTTGATCAGTGTGGGCTCTGGGGTCAGGGGTAAAAGCTCTTCGTGGGCACAAGTGGGCATCCTCTGGGCTTTCTGATGGGTGAAAAGCCCCTTCCTGCTCGGGCTTTTCCCAATGTAGAAGGCCAGGTCTCAGGAGCCCTCTTTTCCTCACCTGACCTCAAGGCTAAACTTGATCCACCCGCCAGCCCCCATTGACAGATTCATCCTCCAGCGTCACCCCTGCCTTCCCCTCTTGTTCCCATGCCAGCCGTGTGCCCTGATGTGGTTCCTCTCAGAACATGTGGGAGTTGGAAAAAATGGGAACTGAGGCTTCTGCAGATCTCTGACGATGCTGGTGGGGAGGACTGGCAGTTTCTCATGGTTTAGCTTTATGCCTACTGACAGGCTCATCCAGAAGATGGGATCATGATCCCTTGCAGGGTTGCAGATTAGAGTGAAAGACGGGGATTCTTGCTGAGAGTGCACGTGGGAGGGGATATCCACTCTTACCCTGGAGTGGGCTCTTCGCAGAGAATGGCCCCCTCGGACTGCCAGAAAGAGAAGTGCTATCTCTTTATAAGAACTTTAAGCAGAGGCTGTTTCTTCCCCTTCTGTCTCTCTTGGTACGTTTTCCTTCTGACCTTGTAAGATGTAGCTACCCTTTCCCAGGCATTTCCTGTACTTTGGCTTAGCCTGACTGACAACCTGTAGTTGAACTACTGAGTACTTTACTTAGTAACCTGTTTCTCTTTAAGTTAATTTGGTCCATTTGTACATACAACAATTAAGAGAATCTCTCATAGACAAGTATGAAAAAATCTGGTAAAGTGCCAGTGAATTAAACCAGTTTTTTTGGTCGGTGTGTTTAATTCATGTCCAAGATACCTTGGATCAACATCCAAAGTACTTTACCTATTTAGGATCAGCCTAAAAAGATCAAGGGTAACACTATGCGAGATAAAGTCATTGGCCTAAGTTCAAGAGGCTTAGAGACAAGGTTTTTGTGTTTTTTGTTTTACATTGGCATTGTGAGCTGGATACTTTCCCACACATATCTGATGAATAAGTCACATGGGAAGATAGGATGGCTAAACTCAGAGGGTCTATGCTTCATGCGCTCAGAGGGGTGTGGCCCAGTGAACTTTTCTGCTTTTATGAACCTACCTACTTGGCATAGGACACCAGGCACTTGAAGGGCAGCTGGCTGTGGAGTGTATTCACTGTTTATGCCACGCTTTGTGCCTCAACAGGTGTCATGATGTTCTTGGAATTCATGATACATCTGATAATAAGCCTAATCCATTTTTTTGGCAGTAAATTTCTAAGGTAAATAAGGAGAAAGTGATCGTTTCTCTTCCCAGTGCTGAAAAAAACATTTTGATTAACCAAAGGGCGCCTGGCTCCTTGGGGGTCCCATTGGCTCTAAAATCTTTGACTCTGACTGATCTAAATTCTCTGATATGAGACAATTCTTTATTGTTTTGATGTATATATTTAGTATGGATTCTGACTACTTCTGCAGCTTTTTCAGCTTTTGAATAAATAGTTATACAGCTTTGAGAGAGATTAGGAATGACCTATCTTACTTGTTTATTACCCATAGTGGAGTACAAGTTAGACCTGTGGAGAACAGTTTAAGTATTAGAGAATCTGCCTGTTTGTAAATAACTGGGCAACAGGAAGACACCCTGCCTCATGAACCCCCATACCACTTCCTGTTGAAATTGTATATGTATTAACTACATACAAAAAAGGCCAGCCCTGCTGCAGTTCTGCTGAAGTAGCAAAGCCAAAAGAGAATATGAGGGGCTCATTGGTGTGCAGTGGGTCCTCTGCCAGGGGAGTAGGCATCAAAAAAATACAACTGTCAAACTTAAGGCAGCTGCTTCATGTGACCCACAGGGCAAGTCGGAGACTGCTAGGGTTTGCACAGGAATCAGCTGTGAGTACTTATCAGCGGGTGATGGGTGAACCCAGACCATGTGACTACTCAAAGCCTCTTGCTAGCTTACCACAGCTCTGGTCAGGTTTTCTTTAGAAATGAACCAGGAATTTTCGGCATCTGTCTTTATTTTAGAAGACATTGGGATGGTCAAGGAAAACTTACTTAAAATGGAAGTGGGCAGAGAAACCGATGGCAGCCAGCCAGGAAAATTTTCTTTGTATTAAAAGGCATGTGAGCAAGAGGCCCTGGGACAAAAGAAGGGAAGGGTTTATTAAAAAAAGAGGAAACATGACAGAAGGAGTGACTGTGGGGGATGAAACTTAAGCTGGAGCTAATTATATATAGCATTGCCTTTTTAAGGCAGTTTCATGTGACCCAACAAAAATCTTTGTCTAAAAACAAATTGAAAACATAGGTTAGAACTCAGACAGCCAGTTAGAGAAAGAACACAAGCTGAGTTACATGTAAACGGCTGTCCCTTTAGCCGAGGCTCGTGGGCTACGGGCTGCGTATGTCATGCAGGTGAAGATTCTAGAAGATGGTGTGGTTGAGTTTGCTGGTTCAGACACTTGCATATACACCATGTGCAAGTTTGAGTCACATGATGACTTTGTGAAGCAGGCAAGTCAGTGGCTTCACTCCGTTTTACAGAGGAGGGAACCGAGGTTCACAGAGACTGTAAGGCAACCTCAAAGCTCATTTGGCTACTGCAGACTTAGAAAAGGAACTGGATTCATCTTCTCATTCCTGTTCTACTCTAATTTATCTATACCGATTGTTTCTGAGGGATGTAGAGTTCCAACCTGGGCTCTTGGAAGAGCTTGAGAAAGATGAGTTTGGGACCACATCTGTTATTCCCAAAATATGTTTCAAGGCTATCCAGGGATTATCCTGTCAGAAGGGGAATCCACCCTGTCCTAATTCTCTCCTTGACTTGAACAGTGTACATGAGGCAATCTCTGTTGACTTGAAATAATTGAAAGGAAGATCATTACTGTCTAGTTGGTATTGCTTCATCAGACAGTACTGTTGAACTCTATACCTTTTAAATATTTGGCCATTTTGGGGGGGAAGTGTTTATCTAAATAGCTGGACTTAGATCAAGTCTACGAAAGAAAGAGCCTTTTCCATAGATAAGGGGTAGACATCACTTGGTATAATGGCCCATTGGAAAAAGAAAAATGCTCTTTGCAGGTTTGATTGAGTTCATATGTTCTGATTGTGTTGTATTGTTGCAAAACTGGTTCCTGGCTTAGGCAGAGAAAGACAAGTACCAAATGATTTCCCTCATTTGTGGAGTGTAACAACGAAGTGTAACTGAAGGAACAAAACAGCAGCAGACTTAACAGACTCCAAGAAGGGACTAGCTGTTACCAAGGGGAGGGGTCGGGGAGGGTGGGTGGGAAGGGAGGGAGAAGGGGATTGAGGGGTACTATGATTAGCACACATGTGGGGGGTGGTCACGGGGAAGAGTGTAGCACAGAGAAGACAAGTAGTGACTCTGGTATCTTACTACACTGATGGACAGTGACTTCAATGGGGTATGGGGGAGGGCTTGATAGTATGGCTGAATGTTGAAACCACAATGTTGTTCATATGAAACCTTCATAAGAGTGTATATCAACAATACTTTAATTAAAAAAAAATTGGTTCCTGGCTTGAAGTAATTATCATCAAGTCAACTAGATTTAAAAAAAAAAATCAATTGATTTTTGGAAAAGTGGAGTCAGATATCCTGATCCTAAGATCAAGTAATAAATAAAAATATACCAGAGTGGGCCTGATCTGAAGCTTCAGCTGGATAAATTCCTTTGATGTTCAGAATCATTAATTGTTGAAGTCTCACAGAAACCACAGGGGTATGAGAAAAAAATACTTTCCTGGTCTTTATTTCTAGTACAGCGGAGTGCAGCCATGGGATGAATCCAGTAAACAAAACTGTGCTTCTATAGGACTAGTATTATTAAACTAAGTCTGAGCAGAATTTTCATTTTTAACCATTTCTTCTTATACTAATGTGAATTTGGCAGAACCAAAGGATTTAGTCTTGGAAGGGTCTCTGGCCATCATAGGTCAGCATCCCACCCGGTATGGGGAGCATTCCTCCACAGCATCCTTCACATACGGCCACACAGCCCATTCCACTATGGATCCAGTCAGGGTCATTGTGAGTTCCTCAAGTCAAGCTGAAGTCTGTCTGCTTGTATCTGCTACCTGTTTACCCCAACTGTGCCTTCAGAGGCAACACAGAAAGGTGATGCAAGGGCCCTTTATATATCTGAAAACAGCTGTCTTCGTATGATCTCTGCTGCTGCTAAAAACAGTAGATTTCATCCTG